AGAAAATGGAGGACGTTTCAAATGTTGCTGCGGCGATAGTAGCGCTGGTACAGGAGAAAGAGGAGCCACTCATTTCCAAAAGCTGTGTTTACATTTTGGGTTCAGCAAAGACGTTGTAAGTTAAGTTATTTCATACTTTGAACTCTTTCAGTTGTGTGTAATTGTTCAATAACTCTCAACTAAAAGTACACATTTTCTTCAAACACTGTAATTATAAAGTATATTAAAGTGATAATGAAAATAATTGTGAAACCCCAGTCCAGGAGAATTATATGTTATTGTTAGTTTATAGTTATCCAGATGAATTGCTCCATATAACTATACAGGAGTAAAACCAGCTGACCAAACATGCTGGTTGCTAGGTGATGGGCTGGACTTAGATGAGGTTGGTAGGTAACATTATAGTGCCTGTTTAATGTGATTTTACAATCAGGAGATTTTTGATGTACCTAATTTTCCTGACACCAAAAAGTATTAATTTATTGCCAAAAAATGACAGTGTATATTTTTTTAAGCACTTGGAATGTTTTTAAAAGCAGTAGAGATCCAAACGGAAGTACAAAACGTGCAAAATGTGAATTTAGCTTGATAGGTCCAGTTTAGATTCTCGGAAGGGGGAAATCAGGACAAAAATCGGCATAAAGTCTTGCTGTGAGAACTAGCTATTATGAGAACAAAGACAGTTTCATTATTCCAATTTAATCCTGTTCAGTCTAATTAAATAAACTCACGTATAGTTCATTTTAACCATCTAAGTTCAAATAAGAATATTTCATAGAACCCAGCAAAGCTTGATGTTTTACGTTTGATGTTTAACCAGTTGCCTACTTAGGAAACTCAAGAAATTACCTTTGCTTCCTTCCTTCTTGGACTATGATCTCATGTACTATTTAAACCATTTAGCAAGGAATTTAATCCTTGGAAAATCTCCTAGTGGGTTGGTACCGTCACCGATGCAGACCTCATCCACATCAGTCAAGAGCGGCAGATTGACTCATTAGTTGCTGCCATTAATGCCACTTAAAAGTTTGTTAATCAAAGCTCAGCTTCCCTTAATGGTGAGCAACAGAGTGTAGCCAGTGGTGCTATCAGAGTGCTTTGATCAAGCTTCTGCCTGTTCTTTATCACCCGTTTGGCCCCAGGTGACCCCGTGTGGCCCTGGGTGGCCTGGTGGCGCTGGCCCGGTCAGGTCCGACGGGACTGGGTTTTAAAAAGCGCCGATATCTCAGATGTTCTTCCTTCCTCCTGCCTCTCCAGCACATGAAAGCCAACAGAGGGCACGCTGGTCTGATCCCAGCCACCAACATGAATTTTTGATCAATGGCTGGTGCCTCTGAAGGGCCGTTTCCAACACGGCTGCTCTCACCAGCCTCCCCCCCATGTACTCCTCCCCTTTCCTCTCAGTCTAAAGCTCAGGCAACTCCAAATGTCAGTGATGTTAGTTTAGCCATTGTACATGGCTGACCGCATCTGAATGGGTGACTTGTCCCCAGGCCAGCCCCCTACAATGGCCTCCTTTCTCAGACCGACTTGTTCTCAGCATTTTTGCCCCCTTCACGAGGAGAGGTTTCTCCCTCTGCTCTCAGAGATTTTTGGCTCTGAGGAGGATGCTGGAGCCAAAGTAGAGGCGAAGGAGCTCAGGATCAAGAGAAAGAGCCTAGAGAGAAAGAAGGTGTAGGAAAGATGTGCTAAAGGTGACCAACCCATTATGCTTCCCTGAGCAGGTTAGGATGGGTCTATGGACTAAACAAAACACATTCATTAATTTTTTTCTGCATGAAATCATTCTTAGGAAATGAGATTTTAGTCTGATCACTTCTGCCTATTTTGAGCTTATGAAGATGGCTGCAAACAGAAGCGCAATTATGCAACAGCACATTCTTGAAAAGCAGAAGTAGAGCCTCCTGCACAACTAACAAGAAGACAGCAAGTGGACAATATTTGTCTTTTTCAACAGGCACTGTACAGCAGTAAAACCATCTAACCAAACATGCTGACGCTGAGCTTGGGTTGCTAGGTGATGGACTGGGCTTTGCTGGGGTTGCTAGGTAACAGGCTGGGGTTGCTAGGTGACCTTCTTATTTGTGACGTCACATTCAGGAGGTTTTTTGCAGCGCCTCATTTTCCAGACACCATAAAACATTAATTGCCAATGAAACTTTTTCCATTCATTTTTTTAAGCACCGGGGCTGTTTTTAGAAGTAGAGGAAAACCCAAATGGACGTACGAAAATGTCCCAAATGTGAATTTTGCATAATCCGTTTAATTCAAGAAAGAATTTGCATTTCCTGCAGTTTAAGAATGACAAGTGTGAAAAAGTGTGAGAAGTAAACGTTAGGTGAAAAATAAAGTATGTCCTCTTTAAATATAAAGTGGTTACATATCATGATCTGGTCTTTACCAGGTTGTAAAATTTAAACAATTTATTTAAGGCTTGAGTGTACAAAAACACAAAACAGACTGCACTGTCATTGTTTATTAAACAAAGATGAAGCCAAAGGGAAAAAGCTGTGCGTGCTAACTACATGATATGACTTCGCAGCTCTTAGAACCACTTTCATTAGCAATAACTTAAAATAGTAACTTTAGGATGACTTTATCACTCCCTGACATCTGTGTGGAAAACTTTTGGTCTTCCACACATGACCTACTTTGAGCTTCAGCTGTTTAAATATAAAATACTTTCAGATGAATTTATGGTTCTGTATTGTCAAGTTTCACTCTAGTTGGTTCCTGTCTTGTTCAGTACCAGCCATGTTGGGTGAGTCTCCATTGGTATTGTGTTCCTCACTATGTGGGTGTGAATATGGGCTCTGATGATGTCATTTTGGGCCACCAGTTTCTTAGAAATCTCTTGGCATATTTGTTGGTTGTGGGTTGCCTGGTCCAGTTGATGCTGTATGCGGTCTTCATGCCACAATTGACATGATGCTGGCCCCGCCCACTTGCAGAAGTAGAGCAAACGAAGACAAACTGTTATTATGGCAGAGGTAACGGAACTCAATGCGTTATCCGAGACATTTTTTTGAGTGATCCGTTAGCACGGAGCTCTTAAGCTGTTAGCCAGATTACTTTCAGATAATATATTACATTGTGCAGCATTCATGACAAAGGGGATACCTCAGTATAGTTTTCTTTACTCACCGCTACAGAGCTTGATTTTGTCGTTATGACAAAAATGGGATGTTTACTACCAGTTACCTTCTTGCTGACTAACATGTGGTAGTTCCCATCGATTAGTTTCATTCAGCTGGACATGAGGTGGGCTGCGGTCCAGGATCCATTTCTTGTGTTATTCCAGACTCCTTTTTGGTTTTGGAAATGTAATAAATTGTATTCCACCCTCTACATGTTCTGGGTAATGGCTGTCGGGATTGCATATTCCCCACTGATAACTTCGACTGAGATTATCTATTATTTCCCTAAAAATCTCTCTGACCGCAGCGTGTTTGCCATGATAAATACTGTCAATATTGTATGAGATAAGGGGCATGTACTTGCGACGCTGATTGGTCAGTTGCTGACTAATGCCCTGGAATGACTGGGGGAGGATTGCTCTATGTCAGCATGGGGGCTAAAACGTTTAGACCTCAAGGTTTGACCATGGAATAAATTGTTTAGCAACTTGCTATCTCTACTACTACGGTCTTCTTTTAGATTGAAAGTGGTTGTTGAGATGTTCTTCTAGGAGTTTTGCTAGTACTGTCTTTACTCAGTGACGTAAATCGATGGGCCAATCAACGAATGCAATCTACTGCTAATCAAACTGTTTGTGTACACCAGCCTATTGTACCACCAGTGAGGTTGTTCTAACACATGGGAAAGATCAAATCTGGCTGGAGCTAACTGGGGAAAAAACGGTTAAAGGGCCTAAGGAGCCTGCAAAACAAGCGCACATCATCAATCCTCCACCACCACTATTGATAGTTGGTATGACCACGTGCACTGTGCACCATGGTCCACTTTGGTCTATCTAAAGAACATTACTCCTGAATGTAATGGAGTACATTCTGGTGTACTCCATTGTCAGGTTGACTTTAACCTTCTCTCACTTTGTTGTGAATTAATTTTCCCCAACTCTTCTTGCCTTAGTGCATGAATGACCCAGTTTGGGTCAATCGGTTTACAGTAGAGATGGTGGTCCACTTTGTGACTTCTAGGTGCCCAAGTCCCCTGGTTGCAATACAGACTTAAACTTTGTACTAGAAGTTACTTGTTACCAGTTAGCATTACAAACTGCATTTGACTGGAGCGCATTACTAAAACAAACAGAAATTCCTATAAAAGAGCTTGCATCTGTGAATGTAATTGGGTTGTATTGGACTGAAACTTTTATAAACATGAAATCTGGGTCTGGTTGTCTTGAAAAGTGCCTTCTGATGACATTTGTTGTAACTTGGCACTATATAAATAAACTAAGTTCAATTTGCTCTGGTTTTCTCCAAACATTGTGCTGCGCATCATGACCGTCTCATCTGTCTAAAGGACATTGTTGCTGAAGTCCTGTGGTCCATTCAGACACAACGTTGCAAACCTAAGCCATTCTGTGGTATTTTCTGTAGAGACAACAATTTCTCCTGGCAACCTTTTCAATAAAGCCAAACTTGTTCAGTTTTTTTCTAGCTTGATTATCGTGACCTTTAATATGATCTGATCTTGTATTGAATTTACAAGGACATTTGCTCCTGGTTAGATTGGCGATTATCTTAAATGTTTTGTGAATATTCCTTTTCAGGCAAATCAGGCCAGAAATTGGCATAAGTATCTCGCCCTGTGAACTGCGTATTAGAGATGAGTGGAGCGGCTGTTTATCTGCTGTCGGTTGAGGTGGTTCAGGCAGCTGGGTGTCTCCTTTTGGAGGTTTTGTGGGCATGTCCCACTGGGAGGAGATCCCAGGGAAGACCCAGCACTCAGTGGAGGGTCTTTGTGTCTAGTCTGGCCTGGGAATACCCGCAGGTTCCTGCTGGACGCGGGTTGTTTGCTTTTGCTCTCTTTAACTCCTTATGGTAACCACTGCTGTATATCAATTAGTTTCTTTGCTACATCCCATAACAAGGATGGAGTTTGCATATTCTGCTGAATGTACCAATGAGCAGTGATTTATCTTCCTGGGAT